GTGTGATGACCGTTTCTTTCCATCGCTACGGAAATCTATTTTTCCCAGGAACAGGCAAGACACACCGTTGAAAAAATATGCACTATTTTCTAAGCATTGTTTTAATGCGAATCGGTCATGTATGAGGCAGCTTTGTTTCACCTATCATCCAACTAAGGAATATTAAGGTCGCTCCAAGTTTTATAGCTAGTTATTTTCAAAAGTTCGAGAAAAATAGAATTCCCCAGCTTTGAAACTTATTCTAGCGTTCCTCCATCTCATTCGGATCTGTCCGTCTTTCGCATTTGACCCTAACGACAATGTGACGCCCCCTGTGTGGAATCTTTAACAGTTTTGCTAGCTTTCCTTCCGGTCTTCAGTCATTCTACTTCTCATAGCCTGACCTCGATGACTAGCTTATGCTAATAGGTAGGTAGGCTCTCCCTAATAGAAATGCCGTCTGTCCTTATGTATCCATGCCAACCGAATGAACAAATTCGGATGAACTGCAACTATACCTTTCTCATTCATGCAAGCGGCACAGAATGCACAGAATGCACTCACAAATGTCAAAGAGATTTGCCGGTTTCCCCTGCAATTGACAGTCAACTATTGAGTTCGTAGACCGCTCAAATAATAGGACCCGGGACCGGACAGTCAACCAGTTTGCCTGGCCCAAATTATCGAAATCGAGGTCATAATTGTCAGTTAGAGAAATCAAAACACCTCAAACTAGAACTTGATATCTTTTTGGAATGCAGTACACCCGCTTCCTTATTAATCCCTTCGATAAAAAATGGACAATTTTGTTACTTATTAGTAGGGGTTAACACATTCTTTAATAATTCAATTGATCCAATTGTGAAATATTCGCGGCCTCAGTGGGATTCGAACCCACGTCAACAAGGGAAGAATTTAGTACAGTCAAAGCTCTTCCAACTGAGCCACGAGGTTCACCGAGAGCCGTGAATTTAATCACACATGGGTAGATTTGTTGCTGTTTCGGCCAGCCCTGTATACTTTTACAACCTGCCTGTTGCTTTAGTCACCACTATTTTATATCCTTTTCTCTATTCCTCCAGGAGACATGTTTGAAGTTGGAGTTGAAAACGGAAAATATTACTCCGTTAATGTGCCCTTAAAGGAGGGCATAGATGATGACATGTACTTCTCCATCTTCAAGTCAGTTATTACTGACGTAGTGCAGTTCTACCGACCAACTGCCATTGTCCTGCAGTGCGGAGCGGACTCCCTAGGCTGCGACCGTCTTGGTGTCTTTAACCTATCTATCCGCGGCCACGGAAGCTGTGTGCGTTTCGTCAAGGGCCTCAACATCCCCCTTCTTGTGCTTGGTGGTGGCGGTTATACGGTACGCAATGTGGCACGGTGTTGGGCCTACGAAACGGCCGTCCTCTTGGGTCAGGAAGATGTCATACCCAATGAGCTGCCGTACTCGGAATACATCCAGTACTTTTCTCCTGATTACACTTTACATCCTGATCTTACAACTAAGTTGGACAATGCCAACACACGTCAAGTACGTCCTATTTTTGTCCGTGATCCGCTTTCGTTGCTTCCCTTTTCTTTAGCCCAGATGCCTAAATATAAGTAGATTGTTTTCCTAGACGTTCTTATGCGTACCGCCACATATAGCCCCACTGGAACAGACTGCTAATTGTCCTCTGT